ATAATTGATCAATCAATACATGATCATATGATCATGGATCTTCCATGAGTGATGGTTAGGATAAGTGAGCTCAGGAAGTGTGCTCTATCCAGTGAGATATTTCTCTTTTCCATCTTAAAAAATGTACATAAACACGAATTCAGAAAATTGAAAAAAATTATAGCCATTGAGTTTATGATTTGTGATAAAGTAAGAGAGTTTTGGGGATGTTTGGACATAATTTCCGGTCTATGATTTATAACTAACCTCCAGAGTAGAGCTAGATATTTTAATGTTATACTTTATCATAAGCCCTATGCATGCTGTGCAGTAGAAGAGAAGTAATGCTTGCTTGGGAAGGATTATTTGGGTTGACGATGGGAAGGCAGGAAGGCATGTCTGAAAGGCTGGTTGATATCTATGGATGAAGGAATGCACTGCTCTGGCCAAAGACAACAGAAGCCATTAAGGAAGCACGTCGGAATGTTTGCAGGGAACGCTCGGTAGAAGACAATGAAAACCTACAGGGGTGTCTGCAGGTACATCTACGAAGAACACTCGTAAGAAAGTCTACACGGAGAATTCTGATAATAAAACATCTGCAAGGGGTTGAAGGGAGAGATCCGACAAGGAAAGCGAGTAGTAGTCGAAGTCGGGGAAGGCCTACAAGTTGGCTGGCGGTTGTAGGGAGGATTCTGGATGTCGAAAAAGAGATCTAGGGTTTGTAACTTGGCTCTGATCAAATTACAGGTCTTCTCCTTATATAATAAGCATGGGGCAAACTTAATTCCTACCATTACAACTTACCAAAGACAACCAACAAAAGAAAAGAAATAAAACATAGTAAGAAAGAAATAAACGAGAATAAATCTAAAATAAGAAACTCTGAATTCTACACAAAATACTATGAATGTTAGAACGGGTTAACCAATCCTTAATCATTTTAATCTTATAAAGAAAAATAAATAACCCATCCTTAAATCATTTTAACCTTATCAATACCAATAAATAACCAATCTGCGGATATAGTAAACCCTAAAAATATAATGGATCCATTTATAGAACATCACTTATTCATATTTATATAAGGCTTTTCGTATTGGATTAAGACTTTCTTATGATAAACTCAATGCTCCTCTCTAGATTTATTGTAAATCAAAATGTCATCAAAGTATACATTAAAATTTTCCTATTAAATATTGAAGATATTGGTTCATGATTCTTATGAAAGTACTTGATGGATTAGTTGAACCAAAAAAGATCACTAATTATTCATAGAAATCCTCACTTTTCATAAAATCAATCTTCAATTCATCGACTTCATTCACTCTTACTTTTAATAGTAGACACTTCTAGATCAATCTTTGAAAAATAACAATTAGTCATCATGTCTAATTTATTATTTACTCTCAATATGAAATACTGATACTTTATAGTGATCTTAATGACTGCTTAATGATCCAGACACCTTCTAACTAACACTCTTTTAAACGCAAGTATTTGGTGATAGTTTGCACAGCACACCCACAATAAGGAGCAACAATTGTCCAATCATGAGTATTTTGTTATGAATTTTGGCAATACTACCATGTCAACCCCACAAAAAGGGTTAGTAAGAACTGTGTCAAAATTATCTTGTTAACACCAAGAAAGGTAAACGCACAAGGCAATTGAGGTTATTTATATTGTCTATCCAACACAAGATGAGAAAGGTGAGCATTCTTGGTGAATAGTAGCATGGTAAAAGCCAGGTTAACGCACCAAGAATGTGGCATTCGATGTCTCAAAATTCTCTTTGTAGTAGCAAAACGATAACACAAATAAGAAATAGGGCAATTTCCAAAGTATGACACAAAATTGGTTTTCAACCCGCCCATACTAAGAAAAGAGGCTACCGTTCTTGACCATGCCATCAATGTTATATACAGTCTTCACAAATTACTTGAACAGAAACAACATAATAGCAGTAAATATTGGTAAGGGACTCCTCAACATGCTTAAACAGGCGTCCAAAATTGATACAAATTGGCCTTGGCATTGTAGGGGAGTAAAGTGCAGCTCCCTGAGTCTACAAGTGGATTTCCTATGGAGCCATACACCATACTTTTTTAGCTTATCTCCATTGTATTCTATATGAATGATATCAACTTAGTATCATTTATAGCATGAAGGCACTTTAGAAGTTAAAAAAGTTGTTCGTGGATATAAAAATCCATTGTTTATGCCATGATCGTTAGAAATTGTATTGGGATCAAATTTTACCTACTCAATAATCTTGTTCGTGATTCTCAAAAGAGAAAATATTTTATTGAAAATAGGTGTGCATGGTTCCCTAGATGATCATATTGAGTGGCTCGGTCCATAATTGATATGGCAAAATAAATAAGGAGTTACGAATGTAACACTACATCAACCTTATCATGTCTTAAATAATTAAACTAATAATCAGTAAAAATTCAAATCAAGTACTGCAGAAACAAATAAACTTGGACATAACACAAACTAACATTCTGGACGAAATTGAATCAAATCTAGCATGTCAGCTCTTGATAAATTAACTTGTAAATGAAGAGAAATAATGAAATGACAAAACCCCCTGGCATAACAATTGAAACGTGGAAAAAATGAGTTGAAGATAATCCTAATACAATTGAAATGACAAAACCGCCCGGCATAATAATGAAGAGCAATAATGATAGTCCTAAGATGCTCTAATCGATGTTGGATGAACATCATGTAAAACTGTCATTTTAGGCCAAATGAGGCTTAAAATCATCATTATCACACTATTATTCTACAATTGAACGTGGAAAAAATGAGTGTGTGAATAGCACATCCATCGCAACCAACTAGATGGCTATGCAAATGATGTTCAGCTCACTTGATGTCATGGATTGAAGATAATAAAATATGTTGAATGTTAATGTAGATACAAATGCATAGCTCCATGTAAATTACGATAGAACGTGATATTGAAGCATAGTACCTTAACTGCAAAAAACAATATTGAGATTAAAGCCTTGTGGTACTTATATGTATGTGAATAAAGCCTTGTGGTACTTTTACATACATACCACCCAAAACCTCAAATATAGCAGCCTCACTACCCAAACTTCAAAATTTACAATTCAGCCACTCAAAACCTTTGTTCTTTGGAAACAGCCACCCTGTGGCAGAATGGCGGCCTCCATTGATCACCCATGACTGTCATACGTTGTCCTCCCACAAACTTCAACATTTTCAAGATCAAAGAAGTTATGATGGAAAGATGAGAGAAGGGACACGAGAAAAGAAAGTGGAAGAACCTGAAGAATAGAAAATTAAAAATTTATAGAGAAGAAAAAAAATCCCCTGAGAATGGGAGTGCCGACAGTGAGTTAAGGTACAGGAGTGACAATGATTTCATGTTCCCCTCTCCAATGTCAGACATGCCACTTTTCACCATTGGCTTTGGACATCCCACTGCCTCTCGCTTTTGGGGCTGAGCCGCTTGTTTTTTTTTCTTCTTCCAACAAATGCTCCCGTATCATCCATAATTCGGTGCCGACAAGGGAAAACAACGCCTGAGAGCCTTGCTAGTTCTTGCTTGCTGACGCTGACAGGTTCACTTGTAGAGAAATTTTTTGGTGAGTGCACGGAAGATGGACTGCGTATGATAGTCACAGAATAGCGAGCGGCAAAGTGGGAAACGACGAGCAACGGGCAAGCGACGAAGGCAAGTGCAGGTGGTTGTTTTGAAACTTCTCTCATCTTTCCATCAGAACTTCTTCAATCATGAAAATTTTGAAGTTTGCAGGAGGACAATGTATAACAGTCATGGGAGATCAATGGAGGCCACCGATCCGTCACTGGGTGGCTGTTCCGAAAAGGACGAAGGTTTTGGGTGGTTGAATTGTAAATTTTAAATTTTGGGTGAGGAGGCTGTTATACTTGAAATTTTGGGTAGATGTCTTATTTATATTGTGATTAAATTTGATACTACATATATTTTTATTTCATAGACTAAATTAAATTAAGAAAAATATAGGCAAGTACTTAGCATTATGTACCCTACTTATTAAAGTATCTTTCATTTTGACTATTAAACATAACACTGCTCAGTGATCCTAATACATTATAAACAGACTTGCAGGCACATTCTAAAATTTCTAATATTATTCATTAACTTTTCCATCAATGGCATGAAGATTTCCCCCCACATAGGACTACAAAAGGATTTATGAAAGCTTGTCCTTACATTGCAAGGTGTAAATATTTCTTAATGCACACTTGTGGCACCAAGATCATAATGAAAGCAGCCTAGCAAAAAAACTTTATGAATCCACACAATAAAATTCAAGTTATATTAGAATTCAAGAAGAAATGTGCTTTTTAATCAAGTAAAGATAGATTATGTCTAATGGTAATAATGAACAAGCACAGTACAAATTCATTATATCCAAAACCCCAAGGCTTAACATTGTGTCTAATATAACTAAAAATGTAAAAATGGTGTATTTGAAAAATGACAAAAAATTTTCTATACAGAATAAATACCAAAATACAGTTGGGAATAGAGCAATACCTCCTCTGATGTGATGTTTTGTTGTGGTTTAAAATTGTACCTATTTTCCAAGAAAAATGCCTATAATTTTTTTAGTTTAGTAGAACTTTTTTTTTAAAAGATCATAGTTGCACATTTTGTTTCAAAGAATCCTATGAAGCATCATTGGCTAACAAAATTGACATATTTCGCAGAGGGACAGGTGAACAAAATATGTCCAAATAGTGTACTGGTAGGAATACATTCTTCCAGACGAGCAAGAAGCAAATCAAGAGCTTTACATGAATCCGGGATCCTCAATGGAAACAAGATGAAAAGAAACAGATCCGACTAAGCACATACAGCAATACATTCTTCCATATTTAAGAACAGTTACAGATCCCCAATTCCCAACAGTTTAAACAAAAAACAAAAGAGTAACTTATTGAATTCGATTCAACTCAAAATCAAGAACGTGAAACAAAGGAAGAGCATTTACCTAAGCACCGCATCCTCGACGGACGAAAATGGGCGCTTGAAGTCGGGATTGCAGACATTCATGACATCCTGGTGCACCATCTCCGCCTCGATCGAGTTTCCAGGCCGCAACCTTCCAGGCAACGCTGATGCCGTCGCCGTCGGAGGGACCGTTGCAGTCACCGGTGGCGGAGGTTGTTGCTGCTGCTGCTGCTGTTGCTGATGGAGTAGCGGCTGATGCTGCGGCTGAAGGAGGTGCGGCCGCATCCCAGGCGCGCGCAGATGGGCATCGATGTTGGAAGGGAATCTCGCCATGGCTTGCTGTTGCTGCTGCTGCTGCTGCTGCCGTTGTAATAGTTGGATCTGTTGCTGTCTCTGCTGCATCAGGAGTTGCCGTTGTTGCAAGGCTAACGCTTTCTTCCCTTCTTCTTCCATTACTCGCTTTCCCGCTCTGGTCTGCTCGCGCTAGCATCACATCATGTAGATCCTAAAAATAAGGTACCGATCATAGGTTTTTTTTTTTTTTTTTTTTTTTTTCATAAGTCGATTAAAAATAATCTGCACATAAATTATGTGCGATGACTACTATAAAATTTTATTTTTTATTAGGTTTTTTTTTTTTTTTTTTTTTTTCACAAGTCGATTAAAAATAATCTGCACACAAATTAGGTGCGATGACTACTATAAAATTTTATTTTTTAAAAAAAATCAGATACCACCGTACCAAGATAAATGTAGTGTGAAAATGCAACGCATAGCATCAAACAAAATGCCCTGAACGGACCCATAATCTTTTAATATATTTTTTAATTAAATATTTAAGAAAATTTAATCAAATAATTATTCTTGCTTTTACATGCAAGAATAACATTTTTGAATGATATTGTATCATATAATTCAGACAATTGTGTAATATTTGAATCATTAATCCTCTTTACATTGAATTGAGGTGAGTTGATGGCAGCCTAAAATTTGTTCAAATCTTATTTGAACCAAATGATATTTGATTTATTTTGTATTTTATAATTACTAAAATATTATTTAAAACTTTCTTGAATCATGCTTGAAAATGCGAGAGCGAGTCATGAGAGAAAGAGGGAGCCGTGAGAACTAGATGAAGAAGAGGAAAGAAGAAATCGAGGAAAAGGAAGAACGAGATGCAGTACAGGAAGAAGAGACTTGTGCCTTACCTGCGGTCAATTCCTCCCATTCTCTCTCGAGTGTAGGAGTGTGACGAGAGTTCTAGCGGGTCTGTCGAGTGCCGCGAGCATCAAAGGAAAAGAGGAAGAAGAAAAGGAACTTCGATTGACTACCTGGAGAGCTCGAGCAGCTCGTGAGACACTCGACACAGCTCCTGTTACCTACCCGAGTGAAAGGAAGATGAAGGAGAGCTCGCGCGGCTTGTAGAAATCTAGGCCGAGAGCTGGGAGTGGGAGGAAGGGTCGGCGGGAGCCAAATCGTGCGGCTCGGAGAGGAGGAAGGAGAAGGCAGGCTCGCGGGGGAGGGAATTTTCTGTCTACACTCCGCTCTACTAGCCGACTCCCAGTAATAAACCCCCATGCGTGATATATCGGGCATATATAAAAAAAAATTAAAGCGTAACCGCTAAGAGTAATTGAAATGGAATTGCCGATGCTATTTAAAGGGTTATTGGAAAATTATTGGGGGGTTATTGGGGGTATTAACTCCAATAACGTCGCAATAACTCCTAAATAACTCCAATAAACTACATAGTTCCACTCTAATAAACTCCTGCAATAATCTCCAATAACTCCCAAAAAAAATCCCAAATAACCTTCTAATAATCTTCACGGTTCCACTCTAATAAACCATTGCAATAACCTCCAATAACCCTCAAATAACCCCCCAATAGCCTCTCAATAAACTCCACAGTTCCACTCTAATAAACCTCTGCAATAACCTCTAACAACCCCCAAATAACCCCCGAATAACCTCTCAATAACTTTCCCGGTTCCACTCCAATAACCCTTTGCAATAACCCCCTAATAACCTCTGTGGTTCCACTTCAATAAACCCTCACATTAACCCCTGCAATAACCCCCCTAATAATCTCTGCAGTTTCACTTCAATAACCTCCGTGATATTGCACACGTGACAACATATTACTGGAATCCGCACGTAGAGCTACCTCCGGACTGAAAATTTTTCTGTGGGGGAGAGATGGTCCAAACCCTTGCTTTTTTTGAATGGCTTATAGCAAACAAACGGAATGTACAACAATGGTTTAATTATTTTTTTTTAGTTTTTTTAAATATGATAATTGAAATTTATATTAGATAATCAAAAGTGTAATTAAATTGGGTTTAAAATGTTAAAAAAAATCATCAGAGAGGCTAAAACAAGATAAAATCTTGTTGAGGTAGGAAATTTAGGAATAAGAACTAATTTTAATAATTAAATGTTATTTTTTTAATCAATTAGTGTTAAATTAAATTAAAATTTTAAGAACTTTAAAACCTAAGTTTAAGGCCTAATAAAGTTGCTCTTAAATGAAACATACCAAAAGAAAATTTAGAATGCCATCTAAAATAGAATTATGATAGTTAATTTATGAAATGTTAATATCTTAATGGAGGATATAAGTAGTATAATTTAAATTGTTCCTATATGCACACCCAAAAGTTTAGACTAATTGAGCGCATGACAATTTGACTACATGGCTGAAATGGGTAAGATGCATTTATTTTACAATAGTTCTATTGATTTACTCATGTTTTTATTGTTTCATTAATTTTATTTTTAAAATGCAAAAGTTCATGTTTCCTTTTAAATGTTAAATACAAGTTTTTTTAAAATGAGAGTCACCCTTGGATCGTACTGGCAGTGGAATGCAATATACCCTGCATAAAATGAAAATAAAAATAGAAATGAAAATAAAAAATAATTGTTTGCTTTTATGGTAGTTGAAAATGGTTAAACATATATTTTTTTTAAAAATAAGTTTTGACGGTGACTTCCAATTATGAAAAGTGCAACATAAATAAATGAAAGGAAATGAAACTATTCTCCTTACTGTTCTCTATTATTGCATAATCTTTTAGAGTAATTGTTCTTCTACAAAATATTTTAAAATGAGAATTATTATAATTTAGAAATATTTGCTCACCGGGTAGTTTTAACTCATTACATTGTTGTGATCTTTTTACAAGAAAATAGTTGTAGACTAGATGAATCCAGGAAGTACGTGTACATGCATTGTGGAGCGCAAGCTGACAGGTATTATAGTTTAGTTTATTTTCTATATAGATGTAAATATTTAAATATGAAAAATCTATTATAAATTTAAGTTTTTAAATAGAATGATCTTTTATGTGTTGGATTTTATTTATGTTGAGAAATGAAACTGCTAGATAGGTTTCCTCCGTCTGACAGTTCTCGTCTTGGTAATTCCAAGCTCTTAGGTCGGATCAAGACAAGAGAGGTATCCGAGCCCAATTAAAGGCAGTAAGAAAGTGATCATAAAAGAGCCATTATAAAAATCATTAATAATTATTAAGATAATTAAAAGGTAATTAAATTTTTATGTTACTAATAAAAAAAATTGTGCTATTTTAAGACATTGATTTTAATCCAGAGGGTACATATGGAAATGATAAAGAGTTAAGAGGTGCTAATCATTAGGATCGAGTGCCTTCAATACATACGATCCTCCATCCAATGGTGTTAGGGTCCTCATGGAGGCCCTTACTCAAATGATGGTCGCAGTTACACGACTTATTCAGGGTTTTCAGACCCAATGCAGTGGTAGTGGAACAACTCAAATGGATAACTATCTGACATGTAGCAACCATTATTTTTAGGAGCAGGAGGGCCAGTTGAGGTAGAGAACTTGTTGAGAGTTAAGAAAATTATTGATTGTTTGTGATGTATTCACGAGAGGAGAGTCACATTAGCTGCTTTTGCTTCCGAATGTGAAGCAGAGAGGTGGTGTCAGCTCCAGGAGAAGTTTGGAGGTCGGCCAAGTAATCAGATACAAATGAAAGACTTCGTGAGGACTTTTCGTGACTGGTTCATTTCTCTACTGACTGGAAGACAGATGCAGGACCTGTTTATCAAACTCGTGCAAGTTGATCGTTCCATTATGCAGTATGAGGCCAAGTTCATAATGTTGTTTAAGTATGCACTCAGTTAATCCTAACACCAAGAGAAAGGGCCACCGATTTCTCTCTAGATTGAAGGGTGTCATCTGATAACCTTTAATCCCTCTAGACATTGAGAATTATTTAGTAGGGGGAGATATAGATTGATTTATTGACAATGCAGAGGCGTGGAGATTTCCAGAAGACGAGACGTGATGATAGGTCAAGATCGGGACATGTCACCCAGTTTGTCTTGTTTGTGCAGTCTAGTAAGAAGAAGCATCAACCCAACAGTAATGGTACTAGTAGTGCGACTGCCACCAGCAATAATAGTAGTATGACCACTTATGCCAAGTTTGGAAGGGCACATAAAGAGAATGCTTGTCAGACACCAACACTTGTTTTTGGTGCCATCACCACGAACACATGGCGAAGTTGTGTCTTCCCTTAGGAAAGAGACCTTAGGTTGATGCCAGAGTTAGGGCTCTACCTAATCAGAGGACTTTCGGTAGAGGGCAGCTGAGTCATCAGGATCTGCTCCAACTCCAAGTTAAACCCGTCAGGTGCAGCCCGAGTATATGCATTGACTCAGCAAGAAACAAAGGATTCACCTGACGTCATTACAGGAATTTATTTATTTTAGCAGATCTGTCAATCATTATTTATATTGTGAGTCTATCTTTATATTTATTATAAGTTTTATGCCTATCCAAAATAAATTGGTCCGAACTTTATTTGCTATCGGAGCATCTCATTCATTTCTCTGAGGAGTTTTTGAACTCTAAAAGATTGGAAGCATTCAGGATGCTTGATGCCTTATCAGCTTTTCTACTGAATAAGTCTCACATGATGGCTGATAGAAGCTGTTGTGTGAATCTGATCATCTGTGATAGAAGTTTTAAGGCAAATTTGGTAGTACTGCCACTCAACGAGTTTGAAGTGATCCTAGAGATAAATTGGCTATCCAATCATTTCACAACTATTGATTGATCAAAACATATAATTAAATTCAGTATCCATGGAGAAGAAGAATTCAAGTTCTTGGGAGATAGACAAGTCTTATTTATGATGATATCTAGTTTGAAGGCATCCAAATTGTTAGCAAAATGGTATCAAGGACTCTTAGCTCAAGTCATTAATATTGCAGAAGAACAAAAAAAGTTAGAAGATATACTGGTAGTGAATGAGTACCTAGATGTGTTCTTAAATGATTTGTTAGGTTTGCCTCCAAGAAGAGATAAATTTTCTTATCGATTTAATACTAGGTACATAACCAATGGTGAAAGTGCCTTATAGAATGACAATCAAGGAGTTGCAAGAATTGAAGAGCCAGCTGCATGAATTATTGGAGAAGGGATTCATCAAACCAAGCACTTCCCCTTAGAGAGCTCCAATGCTTTTTATTAGGAAGAAAGATGGGTGTTTAAGACTATGCATTGATTACCGAAAACTAAACAAACTCACAATCAAGGACAAGGAGAAGCTCGGTGTTTTTCAAGATTGATTAGCACTCAGAATATTACCATTTGAGAATTAAAGAGGATGATATCGCTAGGGCGTCTTTCAGCACCAGATATGGGCATTATGAGTTTGTGCCTGCAATCTTTATGGACCCGATGAACATAATCTTTAAACCATTTCTGGATGGATTTGCGATAGTCTTCATTGAAGACATTCTAATTTATTCTAGTAATGAGATTCATCACACAGATCATCTTCGAACTGTTCTGCAGACACTAAAGGAGAACCATTTGTTTGCTAAGTTGTTAAATTGTGAAATTTGGTTGAGTAGCATATCATTTTGGGCCATATCATTAACAGTGAAGGTATCACAATGGATCAAAATAAAGTTAAAAGCGATAGTTGATTGACACAAACCAACCAATGTTGTAGAAGTTCAGAGTTTCTTGGGCCTGACAGATTATTACAAGAAATTTGTTGAGGGGTTCTCTAAAATTGCAGTGCCTTTGTCCAGATTAAATTAAAAGGCAATGAAATTTGAATGGACAAATCGTTGTGAGGAAGCTCTCCAAAAGTTAAAGTTGTGTTTGATGGCAACCTCGACATTGACTATCCCCTTAGGTACAGAAGAAGTGATGCATATTTAAGAGGACTTGAGTGTGTCCTTATGAACATGGAAAAGTATTTGCTTATGCATCTAAGCAATTGAAGAATCATGAAAAGAATTATCCGACACATTATTTGCAGTTTGTAGCAGTTGTATTTGCTTTGAAGATATGAAGACATTATTTATATGATATCAGGTGTGAAGTATTCACTGATCATCAAAATTTGAAGTATACACCCATAAGGAGTTGGATTTGAGGCAAATGAGCTGGCTTGAGTTTATTAAAGATTATGGCTTGGATATCCAATATCACATGGGTAAAGCAAATGTTGTGGCAAACTTGCCAAGCAGAAAGGCAAGTGACAGTGTTAATTGGGTAATTTCACAACAAGAAGAGCAAATTAAAGATACAAAGCATTTGTAGTTATCAGTAGTGACACCAAATGATGAAAATTTTGTTCTTTTGAA